GGCTAACAAACATTTGAACATTCAAATATTTAAGATACACTCACATTCCTGGTGATGGTGCATGAAACCCACGCAGGGGGCACAGCACATTCCTGCTCCGGAAGCCGATGGCCATGAACTATTTAACTGTAACAGTAGGAAGAGGTAACAAGCAAAACTGCTGTTGCGGCTCCTCTTAATGCAGGTTCCTGGGACAAAAGCACCTTGATAGTATCAGCACGGATCTGTCATTACGATTTAATTACCAACAACAGGACACTGACATTTGAAACCATTTATCAGATTCCAATCCTGAAGGTGGACCGGAGGCCACCTCTCCTTCCCCCAGAGGGTAATTCTTCCCTGGGCACAAACATCTCACCGTATGGCTAGGGCGGCCTGGCACCGCACCTGGAAACATGGTCCCTTGTTTCCTTGGCACAAGTGGAGACATTCCCAGTTGTGCTGAGCACCACCAAGGGCTCCTTACCACTGCCATGGAGCGGATGGCAAGCAGCCAGGATCCGTGCCTGAGCTGGATTGTTTTGGGAAGAACCAAAAAAACAAATCATGGCAGCCCGGCTCCCAAGACAGGGAGTAGCAACAAGGAGAAACACAGCTTTCTTAGGGTATTTTTAAGCAACCTGGAGATTTTAACCTAACTGGATGGAAGCACCTCCAGCAAAACCCGATCCTGAGGTGTTTGCAGTGAGGATCATTCTAAAAGTTATGGGTATTTCACAACAGCATGAACACAACTCAGCTTTATACCATGCAGTCCTGTGCAGCCCTCTGCAGCAAGGACTCACATAAATTATACCCGAAGAGTTTTTGCAGGAAAACCAAAAAACAACAATAAGAACAAAAAACCCAAACAAAAACAACCCATACCCCACAAAGAAAATTACTTGGGGAAAAAAAAAAAAAAAAGAGAAAACAAGGAAGAATTACAGAAATCACAATCATATATTTTGATGCATTTATGCATCCAGTTATTAAACAAGGATCTGAAAAGAGGGTAAGGAAAAAAATTAAACTGGGGTTTTGCATGAACTTCAGCAGTAGACAGATGATTCTCCTCTATTCCTTTTCTTCTTCGCATCAACTATTTACCATTATTTTATTTTTCCTCTTTTAGAAAAAGAGAGAAAGAAATTGCAGGCTTTGCACACCCAGCAGAGCCAGCAAAGATCTTTCACAACCTGTCTAGAAAGCCAGTGGCTTGCTGAAAATCAATCAGCTAACAGAAACCAGCACTGCTGGCTTACAGCCATTAGCTTTTGTTTGTGCATTTTCACATATTGTCTAAACTTTACTTTTTGTCTACAAGGTTTACACCAAACACCTCCATCTACTCAGACCTGGATGAACCTTGTGAGTCCCTTCCAACCCAGGTATTCCAGGATTCTCTCACACTCACTTGCAGAGGAACCCAGGAGAAAAGGTCAGCTGTGACTCAGAAGAAAAAAGAGAAGGAATAAATTGCAAAAAAAGCGCACTAGAAGCTAACATGCCTCTTGCACTTTTAGATGGAGTGTAGGAAAAGCCCCTATGAACACAGACACATAAACACAATGTAAGTTTTTTATTAATCAGGCCTTTTGTTTTAATTGCTTCTTACTATATAGACCATTTAAGGATGAGTTGGTAGGATGAGGATCTTTCTCAGCTCATTTGAAGGTAAGAAAGGTGGAGTTTGCTTTGCTGGAGGTTCCCATTCACACACTTGGCCAAAAGAATGTGAATGTTATAATGCACCCCTAGTAAAAATCTCATCCGATATAGATAGAAAAGTAAAAGCAAGAGACCCTAAAGCTTCCATTTGACCCCATCTCTCACTTCCAAATAAAATCAATTACAGCATCTCTACTTGTCTGAGCTTTCAAAGATAAATACCAATAAATACAGATTCAGAACTGCACCTAGAAAAGTCTTAGGTACGCATATCCTCCGAGAGCTCCCCTCCTTTTATCTGTGATTGATCCTCTTCACCTTCAGAGTGTGTCGAGGTCAGAGCTTAGTTAAGAATTCCTTTTAAAACATATTATAGACACTTTTCAATATATGTTGTGGATTTTGCAATGCAATGGATGATTACAGAATCGCAAACCCAAAGTGCATTAATTGTGGAAGCAATCAGCCTAAGTGGTATGTCGAGCTTACAGATGTCCTATGGGTAAGGAAGCATATTCCAGATTAAGATACCATTTTTTTGTTGTGTTTTGGGGTTTTTTTACAACCACTTTAAGCATTTTCAAACAAACATAAATAGCAATGAGGACTGAAATGGGCTTGCAAACACTACACTGGAGTCAGACAGTGCCTTGTGACATTCATTGTGGCTGGATGTAGGAAAATCCTGCACTCGAGGTAGCAGTGAATGATTTTCCTGCAGGGAACAAGAATGGGTGTGAGATTGGCCTGCTGCAGGTAAGAAGCTCCTTTGGCCCTGCCATAAATCTGTATTTATGGCAAACCATCAAACCAGATGGCAGCCAAGAGGTTAACCCACAGCCAGACTGGGCCAAGAGTGAGCACAAACCTCAGCCCACACCATCACAGAGATTTCTTAGCGAAAACCAACACTCTGCACAAGAGGAAAGGTTAAAAAATTGCACATTCAAGCCAAATTGGAGCTTATCAAGCAAGTGGGCAGCACTGCATTGGTGGGAATAAAGGGGTCTTGCCTGCTGCTGGGAGGGATCTTTTAATCTGAATTTTCCAGAAACTGAGAGTAGATCTTTGCAATCCCCTCCAGTCTCTGTATCTGTGCATCTAAGAGTCTAAAGAGCTTCCAGCTTGATTTTCCAAAACATCTACATCTCCCCAGGTAGAAAGCGTGGGTTGCACCTCCAAAGCAGGCCCCAGGTCTGATCCAACCCACCACTCTGCTGCTCCACTCACTTAGGAATGACAAAGAAATTGAAAACTTGATAAAGAAAATTAAAATCTGGCAAAAGTGAACTGTGGAATCCTAAAACTTAAAAACAACAACCAAAAAAAAAATTGAAAAAAGCTTCCAGCTCATGATAAACATTATAATGAAGCCTCTAATTTTCCTAATGAAAGTATTATCTATCAAGATAAAAGTAAAATGATTTATTAGATTTTCAAACATCACAGAAATAAAATAGTAAATCAGTCCAGGCAGTAATTATTCCATCTCAACTTGAAGCCATTAACTCTTTGTCTGCTGTAAAGATATCCTAATTATTCTTTTTAATTCCATAACCTTATGAAATAGCTTCATATAATCCAATACAAAACAACTACTACAACAATTACTATTGACTTGAACAGGAGTTGAAATATTTTCTTCAAAATGTGCCTGAATTCATGAGAAGAGGAAGTCCAAGGACCCGTCTGGGAGGGCTAAAATAATTTTCAAAAAAACCCTGAAATTACAAACTTGTGAAACTCTAAGGAGGGCACCTGGTCACTGTCATCTCTGCTCCCCATCTGTCCCACCTCTGTTCCCCTGCACTCATCTTGCTCTGGCAAAAATCAACCTGCTGTGATCACTGTGATTTTAAATGCTGCAGTCCTCCACCAGCTTCCCTCTTATTAAAGCACAGAATATACTGCTTGTTGCTACACAAAGTGTCCCCCCACCCCACCCCCATCACTAATGGCTCTTTTCATGATCTGCAGCAAGGATCATTTAATCTGTGAAGAATGGAAATTTCAGTGTTTGTATATCGTCGGTTATTACCTTTTATTTCTAAATTGTGTATTTGGAAGAGGAGGAAGGACTTAATGCCTTTATTTGCTGTGGAGCAAATGTTCAAGGATACTGCAGAAAGCAGTTAATCCCCACATAATTTTAGATGCTGAAACTGGAAGGTGCTCCAAGGCCCTTGGCTGCCATCCCCTTGGCATCTTGTGCAGCCCGTGGCACCCTTTGCCACTTCCCACCCGTTGCAAGCCCAGTCTTTAGGGACAGAGTGGCATCACATCCATTTTTTTGCATTTATTCTGATCACCCTTCTCCATGCCAGCAGCCCTGGAGGCACTTCAAAAGCCAGGCAAGCCCCGTTGCAGTGGCAGACAAGCCCCCTTGCTACCCCTGCATGCCACGCTGCCCCTTGGTGCTCCATAAAAGCAAACAAGGCAGTCATGGTGAAGTACAGATGGATACAAAAGGCACAAATAATAATAATTTTAAAAGTCTGCATGCAGTAGCATCTAAAGCTAACTGCATGTTAAGCAAGGAGATTGTAAAGTCCTCTTGAGTGCCTTAGGAAATTCAGGCACAAACAAAATCTGGGAGGCAGCCTAAGTGCTGCCTGCACAATATTTAAGCCAATGAATACAAGAAGAGGAATTGGAATATCAAAAATAATTACATGAAAATAACAGTGTTTATTTTCCCAAGAGCTTGCCCACCTGCAAGTTCTGGTTTTGCCAATGTAATCCTGCATTTGTCTGAGCAAACTGGCTGAGAAGGATTAAAGCAGGACTCAGTGTGCTTGTGCCAGGGCTCAAATTCAGCTTGCAAGTTTCAGAGAGCCCTGAATTATTATGGTAATTAGTCAAGGGAGGAGTAGGAATTTAACCTAAATGCTCATCCTTTGGTGACTTTAAGTTACATTCAGTATCACTTTTACATCAAGCTTCTGAAAATTATTTAATTTTTTTTCCCTGTTTCATGCCAAGGTCTTAATCTTTACTGCACTGGCAGTGAGAACGTTTTAAAGAATCATTTCCCAAGACACATTTAATACATTTCCAGTAAATTGTACATAAACCTGTCCAGCTGGCTGGGTCATTTCATCAGTGACACACCCACTGAGTGCAGGATGCCACCTGAGATTTACCTCAATGCTTTCAAAACCAAAGCGATGATGGGATAAAGCTTTGCTAATGTGTGAGTGCGATGGGGAATACACTGATAACTGCCCACCAGGGAGTACAAGGATCTTTTTTAGGTTTGTTATGGGAAAGATTACACAGCGGATTAGACAAAGGGGGTTGAAGATCAGCACAGAAATTACACCGACTTTAGGAAAAGCAGCATTAAAAAGCTGGCTGTTTATTTGAAACCACTTAAGAAACAGACGGTGAACTTTATCAAGTGTTTCTGAGCTGTGTCCTGTACGGCTTTCAGGGACTGCTCCACAGGCTTGGGAATACAAACAGAAGTTTTCACAGGATGAGGGTTCTGAGCAGGATCTGCCATGTCAGGGCAGAATACCAACAGTGATTTCCTCACAGTCAGCTCTGCTGAAATTACATCAATAAAGAATGTTCAAGATGAACATTTTTAATGGCTCCTCTTATGAATATATTTGCTGAATCCAAGTGGGGGGGAAGAAAGAACATATCTTTTCATTGTTCACAAGCTATTTCTGATAAAGAGTGCAGAGGAAGCAAATTGCTTAGGAAAGACATCCCGCTGAAAACAACCTAAGGCGCACCCCAGCAGCCTGATTTTAGGAAGAAGTGCCTTGTTTATGGCACAAACACAGTCCTTTCCTGCAGGTACCTTTACCAGCAATGTCATCAGCAGGGTATTAAGCGGGGCCATGGGGACCCCACATGTCCCAGTTTTGGAGCAGCACGGGGATCCTGATCAGTGACAGTTGTGGCTGTGTGAAGCATTAGCACCTGCTGTCACTGAAGCCCTCAGTGAGAACTTGGGTGACCATTTATGGCCCAGTCCCCTCCCTTTGTCCCTACTACCACTGGCTGCCTCGTGCAGTTCTCAGAAGTTGAACCAGGCTGGCATCCTCGTCGCTGTTCATCACCGCCGTTTAAGTGAATTTAATAAAATTATTTTTCTAAACTGTTTTAGATGCCATATCTATAATCCATAAAATTTATTGTACCTTTATGTAGAATTATACAGGAGTTGAATATATAAATCAATTTATAAGGTCTAATGACATACAAACGCTTAAAAACTAAAGGCGATGTAGTAAATTCAAATTACCATTACAAATGTAAGCTTTGTAGTCAGTGTGTGACCCGCTAAGGATTATATTTAACTCCCCTGAGAGTGGTTTATCATAAAACTTTATACTTTTATTACAGTGAATTATTAACTCCTCCATGATGTGAGTCATTCCATGCTCTGACTATAGCTTTTTTAATGACACTATAATAGACATCTTGCTAATAGCAGTAGGATTGCTACCTCTGAGGTTAAAAAAATAGAAAAGCAAAAAAAAAAAAAGTGAAAATACAAGATACATGCAACAAATATGTGAAAATGCATATCCCAAGAGAGTATAAAATAAGGACCTGTAAGAAGTTCCATCCAAGGCCGAACTGCATAGAGGTCATGACAATCTTCTGGCCATGTGGAGAAGCCATGAGCTGAAAAGGCTGGTATCTGAAACAACCAAAATGTTTTACAATTAGAAGATATAAAATATGAATTATTGTGATTATTTAAAATTTTTTATGTGAAGAAGAATTCTTTTTCCTCCTGATGTTCCAGTTCAATCAAGTGACTTTAAGATACCTTTATAAAAATTACTTGACAATCATTTCTTCTTCCCAGGAAGTTTCCACAGGCTTTTCCCAATCAATATTTGCACCACCCCCAGTGATCTGCAGTTTAATATCAGTATTTTCAGACCCTCCATTGGCTGGAATTGGACCAAAATCCTGGGAGATTTCTGGGCTCAATGACAGGACAATCCAGGCCCATGAAAATTCCAGGGTTCACTTCATTATCAGAAAAGCAAATCCAAGAGAGGTGTTTCACTTCACTTTTTTGTGTTATATTTCAAATTTCAAAACAGGTCTGCCCAGCCAGGAAATGCCACGCTTCCAGATGAATTTCTCTCTCCAAAAACCAAGCTCTGCTCCAGTTACATTGACAACAAAATTGACTGGATTTAAAATAAAGCCAGCCCATTTTTGACCAGATTTCCACATTTTTCAAGCACAAAGGATTTTCCATATGTTTGAATGTGATTTTAAAATTACATGCACACATTTTTCCATAAGAGAATTGTACCAAAAAGTGACTAACTACAATCTGAAGCATGCCAAGTCACGTGGCATTACACAAAAGTGAACCTCTGAGTATTTTTAAGTGGTCCTCACAAAATGAAAAAAATAAAAATAGAGAATTCCCAGTTCTTGTATCTTCAAGGTTTTTTTGAATACTTGTGTTTACTAAAACAAGGAGACAGTTTCCTAGTTCCTCATGACACTCATTAATCCATTTATAGTGCTCCTTTGCTAGCAACATGACCACAGAGATACTGAAAAACAGCAGGAAAATTAAAACTGGCAAAGAGAGGTCAAGCCTACCTGTACAGCAAAAAACCCCAACAGAATAGGCTGAAACAGTGGTAATTCAGTACAAGTTCTCTGAATATTCAAGAGCAGCTCAGAGCTATCTATTTAATCATCTCCCATTTAATAAATTTACTTGTAGCTACTGCTTTTAAATGATTGCTTTTTTTCTCTTTTGGACAGAAGCAGTGGTTACCACTGTGGTCACTGGACAAGCGCTTGAGGAACATTAAAAGGACCTTTCACAAGGATTTTCAGCAGTGCAAAACTTCGTGGAGAGAATAACCTGCAGAAAATTGAGTCCTGCCACTAAAGTTTGCCTAATTTATCAGTTTTTCCTTGAAAACAACTTTCATTTTCAGCCTTGCCATGGCTGCAGGAAGGACTTTCAGGGCAGAAGGCCTAGAGCTACAAACCTTCTTACTTTGAGTGGAGTTGAGGATGTTTATTTGAGGAAACTATTAGGATTCCTAAACCCACAAGGGATTATATACCAGAGCTGGGAGACAACAGCTGTTGCCTTGATGAATTCACACCTACCTCTGCTCGCATTCTTGGAAAGACTTTATGTTCAGACCTAAGCAGAAGGATTGCATTGCTGCTTAGATCTAGAAGAGATCTACCAAAATTCTGTGCTTTAAAATAATTGCTTTCTGCTTTCTGCTCAGCTCCAGTTCTACAGCAGCAAGAACAGGCTGCACCCTTTGTAACAGTGGCACATGTCCCTCTTCGTGCATTGATCTTCCCACCACTATATGAGAAATTTGTCTAAGCCTGGTGATAATTAAAAAAACAAACAAACCAACCAACCCTCTGCTCATTGCCACTCCAGCAGGAGTTTCTGGGCCAGGACTGAAATAAAGGAAATTATGCCACGTACAAGCTCAGCCTGTGGAAAAGCAGAGTCTGCTGTTGTGACACCATGAAGTACTCTCCTTACACAGGTTTTATGGGGCAGTTTAGTGCTGTGCTCCTGTTTGGGTTTTTTGTGTCTCCAGTCTCTTTGTCAGTGTTTACTTATTTAACTATAAAGTTTCCATTGATGCTAAGGTTTGTTTACAAGTGGTTCTCAGCCCAAAATGCAATTAAATGTTTCATTTACTAAAGCTGAGTAATGTTGTAAAGGTCAACCCACAGTGACACCAGAGCAAAGCCAAGTGGCCACTGTGGATGTCACCACTGTGTGTGCCCACCCTTTCAGAGGCACAGAAAATTGTCCATTTCCTGGAGACGGCCCTGCTGAGGGCAGGTCCTGTTTGCTCACCATAAAACCTGCTCATTAACCCAGCTCACCAGTGAGTACACTGACACCAGTCCAGTCCTGCACCTCACCAGACAATCCGTTTGCCTTCAAGGTGAGGGAGAAATGCACACACAGAAGAGAATTCTTTTTTTTTTTTTTTCTTATATTGGCACTGCACATTACTGAGCAAATTGCCAACTTTGTGCTTTACCAGACATGGGCACAGCAACCTGATCAAGGTCCAGTGTTTCCTAAACTCTAACTCCGAACCCTTACTTTGGTGAATTTTGATTCTCAGCTCTAATACTGCCCCTCAGTAACTGCTGCTTTTCTTTTTTTTTAAATATTTTTGACATCTAAAAGTCCTTGTATCTGAGAAGATGATGAAAGAAAAAAAAATGAGAAGTGCAGTGAGTGATTTCACATTCAAATAAAAGAGGTGCTGTACTTAGGAAGTTATAAGCACCTGCAAACAGGAGTTTATAATGAAAATGCCTTTTCAACCATAACTATAGCTTTGTAGTAGTAATGCTATAATACAATAAACTAGCCTATTAAATCTTAAGAGTTAGATTTAATAAGACAGTGGCTGTATATTAAATAAATGCCAAATTATTATTAAAAAATGCTTTTACTGAGGTTTAACTACTCTGTCTTATACTTCCTGCCTTATTACCCCCAAATAAAACACACGTACAAGAATATGTATTTAAACCACTGCATAAAGCACACACATAGAACAAAAGTTACAAATAGATTATTCAAATCTGGAAGGAACTCAGCCTTTGAAAGGTAAAGTTCACAGGTTTGGGTTAACAAGAACCAAACTATAGCTTAAGTGACAGAAATTTTGTGGTGCTACCATAGCAAAATCTTTGAGGACATTTGAGTCTGGGGTTTTTGGTTCGTTTAGTTATTTGGATTTAGGTTTGTAAATTCAAGTTAAGCCAAGATGGCTCAGAAAAGAGATTAACCTTAAACTCTATTTCTGGCCAACAAGAGATGGAGGAAATGTTGCAGCAGGCAAGCAAAAATGCATTGTTGACAAATGACTCCATTTATAGTCCAGATTTCGGACACCTTGTCCTTAGTCACCAGTGACATCTAATTTGTCCCTAAAAAAACTAGCCCTTACATCTTTGTTACTTTAGGCTTTAGGTTAAGACATGTGGATGTCCCTCATAAATCTGATCTCCTATAGGGCCTGTCTCCTTCCAGTAGCTTCCCAGTTGAGGGAAAAAACAACAAGAAAACCCAAACCCCACCATTACCCATCCTTTTCCTTCCTGTTCCAAAGACCTCATCAAGAATAAAGAAATTGTCCTAAATTTAGACATGTTAATCCCATGGTGTTTGTGTGAAATAGGTTAGTCAGACTGAGAACAAAAGGGAAGGAGCAGAAAGCTATAAAAAGCAAATGAAGGAGAGAAAAAAATATATCTACTGTACTTCACCAGCCAGAATCACTGTGGGTATACACCATACAGGGACATCCGTCAGCACCAATCAATACGTGTGGTGTTAGTC